CCCCCCCGCCCTCGTGTTCCCTGCGCAAACACAGTCGGCGGCAGACGTAGTCATTGCGGGGCTGGGATGGGTCAGCGTCACGGGCGCGGGGCCGGTCACCGTGCGCGTGTGGGCGCCTCGCGGTGTTCTGGTGATGGCGAGGGAGCCGCTGCTCCCGTACGAGTCCTGGGAGACCACGGCCAAGTTCACGGGCGGTTCCACCGTCAAGAAGGGCAGGAAAAAGCAGGGACGACGAGCATAGTGTGCGCTCGCTTCTTGCTGTGCTGCAAGTTGCTGCTGCATACGGTAGTGCGTAGTGTTGGGAAAGGCATGTACGGCGAGCGTTGTGCTCTCGCTTGCTGTACTGCGAGTTGCTGCATGCGATGTAGTCTATGTAGCCTAGTTTATGTGGTGAGTGTTTGCGGTTTGCCATGGAGATTGTTCGGCCGGGCGACGGTCGTTTTGGTGCATTTGGTTTGTCTCGTGTGTGCTTACCGGACCAATGAAATAACGTGTCGAAAGCGAGCTCTTGGTTTTTTGGCCAGTCCAACACGCGAGCTACCGTGGCTTGGAGGCCCACAACCGATACGTTTCCTCGGAAGTGCGTACGAACCCTTGACGTGGAAACGTAGCCCAGATCGCGGCTCGCGTTCGAGGGAGGTCGTACAACCTTGCGAAAATACCACGTTGTAACACCGGGGGATGGCCGCGAGAACAGACGGTGCGTCGGATTAGAAACTATTCCTCGAGTTTGTGAAGGACTACGAGCGGCCCTGTTTTTTTTTTTTCGGATCAACCGAGGCGTAGACCATGGCACGCAGTGAATGCTTGCGTCAACACTCGCGGTACCTTTACGGTATGAATATGCTTGCTCGGTAGACAGTCCATACGCCACGTGTGTGGCGTTTCCGTTGGAGAGCGAAGAGCTTCGCCCCGTGGATAATGTTTAATATCTTGAGTTTTGGGCAGGCACCCTGCCCGTATATTCGGCAGGGTCGACCGTCTATCCTGAACAACTCAAGTAGAGAGCGAAGTCGGACCTCGCGCAAGCAGTCCGACGACTGCTGTGTTTTTTTTTGTCCTGCGGCGGACAAGACGATGTGATCTACTGGCCACCGACGTTCCTTTGCAAAACGGTATCCTCGAACATTGCTGTCGGTTTGTAGTCCATGACCAGGAATCCCTGCCGCAGCAATGTTTCGAACGGGCACGTGTGGATATATGAAAAAAAATCGACTCGCACATCGACGAGGCACCGGACTACGCTACACGTTTCTCGTGACAAAGGCAATACCGCTGATGACACGCAACGATAATAATCGTGGCTTCTTCCGTGACAGGACTACGCTAAACCTCTCTCGCGATAGAGGACGACAAGACACTGATGACGGGCAAAGATAGTGACAATTTTTCGCGACCTCTGTACCCGAGCGGCCCCTGAACATACCGGTCGCCCCGGTGGTCTAGTGGGTAACCTCGCAGCCTGCTAAGGGCCAGGTCATGGGTTCGAGTCCCGGCAGAGTGAGTTTTTTTCTCACTGAATGAATCCTGGTCTAGGATGAAAGCGACGCGTTGCAAAGCTCGTTGTTAGTAAACCATAATCGACTTCGTAAGTCGCGAGGGAAGGGATTGCTGTACCCTTCTCGCGATAAAAATACCTCAGGCAGGAACCGCAGGAGGAGGTCCAGCCGCCCCCTCCTTTGTGACCCCGGTTGGGTCGTCTAGCTAGTAGAAGTGGAGGATAGGGGCGAGAGGGGCAGACGACAGAATCCGATGATGGGAGAAAAAAAATGAAAAAGTCCGAGGACAACTTCAGCGTGCAATGTGAAGAATGCACAGCTTTCGATTCTCTTTTGTTTGACCTTCGCGCATGCGTCCGCCACAACGTCACTCGTCTATCACGGGATGCCTCAGCGACTTGCTGCAGTCGGTTGAACTCGTTGCGAGCATCGCTCGGAAACAGCAACACGCCCGTGTTCAGGCGAACTCTGTACACTGCTGTGTAGTCCATTGTACCGGTTATTATTGTACAACTCCGCCAATTTTGTTGGTACCCCCCCCCCAGTCGGAGAAAAGACCAATTTCACTTGCCAAGTACATGTCATCGTAAGATCGCACAATGTCGAAATGATATACTCCAGCATACATTCGCAGTTGCGCACGTCTGCCAACCAGTCGACTGTCCGATCCCGGCGCTGTCAAGGATTGGATGTCGATTTCTTACCCGATGCCCGTCTCTCCCTTTGTGTGGTGGATGAGTGACCACTGCCCTCGAGAGGGGAGAGAGATAGACAATAGTTGATGTGTTAGTACACCCCATCAAGCAACAAAACCAGCTCCTTTTCACAGGCAGTGGTTTTCGGGAGTTCGCTACACACTGGTTATTCCCGGGGGTAGTTTTATAGTTTCCGCCCCCTGGTTCGACTCAAAACCCTGGTGGATGAGTGGAGTACGGTCCTGTGGGGGTGAAATTGGGCTTTCGTGTAGGTTCGGTATGGCGCCGAGGAGATCTACGAATATCTCATAGCGGGAGACAAGCGTTTCTGAGAAATTGCCGAAAGATTGGCACAAAATGTGGAGGAGAGTCACGGGACGGGGCCAGCAGGCCCACCTCTTGCACCTCACTCGGAAATCTGACTGAGGAATCTCGCGAACATCGACCGAAAAAACTACGTGTGCTTTATGAAACGGATTTAACATGAACCCAATGGCACATATTTTCATCTGACATGATAAAAATGAGTTGCCTTCGTGCCTGTTTACCTACCTCATTTAGAAGGATTCCAACCTGTTTCACTCACGCAACACGTCCACTTACGCGACGCCGCGATACACAGCTAGCTATTCCACCAACGTCCGTCATCGGTAACGCCGCCCGAAAAACGAAAATTCATTCTTGGTTGATGCCGGTGCTATTTCCCCATACCGCCATCGCTGCCGCGCTGTTGTTCTGTGTGTAAGCCGGGATTAGTCTCAAACGGCGCCTCCTCTCCACGGCCGTTGGGGTTGGTTCGCCGTTCGCCCGGTCTTACCAGCCTCAACTTCGTCACAGTCCCCTCCAAGTCTCACGTTCACTAAAAGCGCGCTTGTCGGTACGGTTCTCTGGAGTTGCCGTGATTTTCCGTATCACCACGTAGTACGTACGTCCATGCGTACATGTTCTGCGTTCAGTGGCAGCGTTTCCGACCACGCGCTACACATCCTGCCATGTGCGCACGCACGTCAACCCCTTTGCCAATGCCAATGCCGCCACGCGATCGGCCGTCCGTGGTACTACTATTTGTTTGCTTTCGGTCGGGTTGTTTGTTTGTGTTGGGGAGTTTATATTGTACTATTCATAGGCGGAACGATTGTCCCCCCGCCAGCATGCGTGGGATGGATGCGGCGGTTCGATAGGCAGAGGAAGTAGACGCGATGATGCTCGAAGTCGGCATAGTTAGGTAGACGATGTGAGGTCGATACGTCCGTCCGTCCGTTGCGTAGATCGGTGTTCTGCAATAAAATGAAAACGAAAGGGATTTTCGTGGAATGGTCATTGCCCGATCACAAAACGTGAAGCGGACGGAAGACGGGGGTGGGGAATATTGTGAGGAGGGAATGGGGAAAAAAAAAAACGACGCCGTACGAAAGCGACAAAACGTAAGGGACCGTTGTCACCGGTGGCCTTGCATGCGCGGACGAAATTGTGGCGGTGTCGTATCCGTCGCGATCTCGTGTAAGTAGCTTTCGTGAGCTCAAAGAATTATCTGCCGTACCAATGAAAAGAAAAACGTCGTCACAAAAATGACTGAAAACACACACTTCATAAACGTACATATTTCCCTGGGGTTGGAACCTCGGAAGGGAAAACAATCCTCCTCATGATTGGAGTCACGCCACCGGGAAGCTGCTGCGAGGTTCCTCGCGTTCAGAGAGAATATTTCTCCCTCTCTCTCTCTCCCTCTACGCCTGGGTTCCTCGCGTTCAGAAAGAATATTTCTCCCTCTCTCTCTCTCCCTCTACGCCTGGGTTCCTGGCGTTCAGAAAGAATATTTCTCCCTCTCTCTCTCTCCCCTACGCCTGGGTTCCTCGCGTTCAGAACGGATCTCTCTCTCTCTACCCCCCTCCCCCCCTCTCTCTTGCACGCCCCGTTGCGTTAGTCTTGTTGGATCCGCGTGACCATAGCGAAAATCACAACGCTCCGTCCTCACCGAAGTCGCTCACGAGCTTGTCCAGCACGGGCTGCACCTGTCAGCATATCACAAGAGAAACACAGAAGCCACATGGAACGATTCCCTCGTCAAGATTCCACCTACCGTGTGTCCGCCTCCGATCAGTGGCAACAAATATCCCAACCAGTGCTTGATGCATGCACACGCCCAACGGGTCCCCTTGGCCATCGACTCTCCGAAAAAACAACAAAGGAAGGAGGACAAAAAGCATCCCGTTTCCTCTGACCGATCACACATCACAAACTTGTCATTTCCTCGAACTCCCTCGCAGCCTGTGCTTGTGAATACGGTCGTGTCGCTATTGCTAGTGTCGACCGCCGACCGCCCTGCTAACCGGGTGACCAATGAAGATGGGTCATTCTCAGTGCTGCTAAAATACATGATCTGGGACCCCGTGAGGGGAACGCCGAGCTACTTACTCTCTCCGGATTGAATACATGAACGGCAGCAAACGAAGAAAAATGCGCCGTGTCGATACACTTGTGTGTGCCCCCAACTCTTAGAGCACACGTGCCTGGCTGTGTCTACAAGTGTGCTGAACTTCCGGTGTTCGCGTGGACCGGTCGCCACCTTCGTGCGAGACGTCGTGCATTCCAGCGTCACCCCCGCCCCATCTTGCCCGATCGATCACGAGTAAAACAAACAATCCATGACGGATCAATGCAGCGTACAAGTGATCCCCCGAGAGCGAGTTCACGAGAGCACAGCAGCAGTGAGATGAAAAGAAAGCAGGCGGCGGGACCAACTCACAGCTGACTGCCAGCTGCCGTGTGACGTTTCCCGAGCTCAACAGCTCAAGCAGCTTGGCGTGGTTTTGAATCGAACAGACCAGCGAACCTTAACGAACCAAAAAAGAAAAACTTACAAATCTGTATGCAGTAGTCTTACATCCAATCGCCCCTGCCTCCTCATCGCGCCTGCTCTAAAGGATATTTTAAGTGCACGACTATTCGCGCGTTCTGCGCTGTTGCCCCTGCAAAGTCGAAAGACGTACCATAGCTGGTATGCAATACATGGTCGTCGCAGACACACCTGAAGCTCATTTCGCTCACCTTTTCCCTCTCGGACGGCGAGAGGTGGTCGATGTACACCGTCCCGTCCAAGTGGTCGTACTCGTGCTGAAACCGCCCCAACCAAGCAACAATACACGGCGGGGTTAGGAACACACATCTTGTCACTAGGGGTCAATGTCGGGGTGCTGCAAAGTGAGCGTGTTACGCGAGCCCAAGTAAAAAAATGCGGCGATGCCAACAGAAGTGGCACACGGGAAAAAGAGAAGGAGAGCAAAAGTCCCCCCCCCCCCCCCC